CATAATATACTTATCTTTCCACACTTTATTATGGTTTTTACTTTTATATATGTTAAATTCCGCATCAATTTGAAAAAATTGATTAAAATAAACAAAATACTTACAAATAATTTTCATCACAATTATTTAATAAAAAAAACGACAAAAGAAACAAATGTTACAAAAATGCATAAAATTATCAAATTTTGTTTGGACACTTAATTTTTTATCACTGTATATCTCCTTAGTAAGAGCTTTTAGAATTTTGTTCGTAAGTCCGGGAGTTCGCAAGTCAGGTAATGCCTGTATTCATTTGACAGTACTACAATTTTACCTACATCTATGATAACCAATAGTAGTACACCTGTCACACTTACTTGTCACTTGTCAAACATAGTTTGGGTGGACCTTTATATAAGTTATTTAGCTTTTATTTTAAATATGACTTTTAACAAATTATTAATAATTGTAAATCTATTAATTAGAAGGTTTATCTATTGATCGACCATTAACAACATTCAGATTTGTGTTTTACTTTAACAAATCGTTTTCAATGTGCAAAATTCATTCATGAATTTCATTGATAAAAATTCAATAATTTTATTCTTAAAACATCTGAAAGCCATTTTTCGATATGTTTCAACTTTAATTATAAAATTAAAAATTAATTAAATTAACAGTAATAAATGTTAGATTAAATATGAAATATTTGTCAACGTTTTTTCCAACAAACAACGTCGGTTTATATCTACGTGCGACCGCAAGACTTTATCAAATGTAAAATATTAACTGTAAATGTTTTTAAAATGAATTTCGAGAAGTTTACAAGTGTTTTAATGAGTAAGTAAGAAATAATTAGGTCTCTCGTCTTTAAACATACAAATAGGTCTTAGCTAATAATGCGCTTGCGAAAAATCCCGGTTATTGATAATGTACGAGACTCTTATCTTATCACAGTATCAGATAAATGCAAGATAAACGAAATCCCTGTTTAAAAGTCTCTCCAGCCCCGCAGAGTTGCACGGAACGCACAGGGCGCATCGAAAATTATTGGATGGTTAGTGATCAAAGTGTGTGCGCGTTTTGAGGATGCTGTGAATAAGTAAGAAGGTGTACGTGATAAGAAGGATGAGTCTGTGGACGGAGATGTGCGAAGCGGCCGTTCTTTATGGCTATCAAACATCGTTCTCTGGCGATCTATCTGCCGTTTTGGCAAACCTCAAAGGTCAGTAGTTCACGCGCCAAAAAGAACAAATTTTCTGATTTACGTGAAGACTGGAACTACCCTAATAAATCTCCACACAGAAAATGCTGGGAACCTCGCACGACGTTTTTTTTATATATTTCCAACATCCTTTTGGTTTGTTTTACGGTCGAGGCTAATGCAGTTTCCGTTTAATTCCTACATCAAAAAAACTTCTTCGCAATTTATCGCCTTTTACTATTTGTATAATAGCATTATTTTATTTGAAAAAAAATATACTTATACCCGTCAAAACTTCATTAGGTATGCGCTGCATTATTTACTTTGAAAAGTCGTTCGGGATTCGAAACTGGTGCGCATGAAGCTTTCCAAGAAGCAGAAGCAAACTGGTTGCTGGATTTGCCCCATGTTTATTTCGCCTTCGAGGCAATTAAACTCCTTGGTACCGTAATCCTCCAAGCAAATATGCTATGAAGCATTGTTATTACTGTTTTTTTTTTCCAAAAAAATAAATAAACAAGCAGGAATTAATATATGAAATAAGCGGATGATCTCGAAACAGCTCTTGATTTTCTGACGATACATCTGGTTACATAATGCGAACTTGACCCAGATTTGGTTATCGAGTTCTGTGTATGTGTTTTTCTATGCATTTCGTGTATGGGGGGCGGCTACGGTGGGATCGGCACCACGGCCATTTATATCTTTGTTGATGCACTAAAAGGCTCTATTATTCATCGCTCAAAACTTCGGGCTCCATGCAATAACTTTATCGACCCGCGGACCCTTTTAAACCCTTTCAGGACGATCGAAGGGCGCGGATGAAAAGTCCGCACATTACATCAACCTGATTAATCATCATCCACCCCTATTCATATAATTGAACAATTCGATATTAATAATTACCGCGCACGACGGCAACATAAATATTATACAAAATTTCTTATCTTGCGATAACCCATTTTTGATAATAGAAATAATAATATACTAAAATCTGTATTCTTTCGGAATACTCTCCGTGTTTATTTTTTAATTTGAATGCATACACTTAGTCTGGAGTCTAGACCTACCGCAATATTTCTTTTAAAGGCTTCGTCATCAACAAACAGCAATTTCAATCATGTTTATAAACGTGAACTCTAGGTTATCTTCAGTCAACATCGTTTGTTTTTGTTGTTGCTGTTGTTCGGACCTCTTAATTAATTTTTCTGCAACGTAAACAAGTACATATTTTCATGCAATCCTTATCGATTCGAGTAATCTGCGATTAAATTCATACGAAAAATATTTTTGTCCGGTTTGTTTAAGACGACCCGAATCTTTTATAGGACATAACAAAAAACTTGTTTACCAACAAACCACTCTCTCCGCAGTTGCTGTTGTAACGTATATTCTTATCTTCAATTTACCTTTTGACTTAAAATCCGGTTTTCACTAACAACTAGATGTTTCTTATCATTGTTTTGTTATTGCGTTATGAAACTAGTATAAATTATAATTTAATATCTATTACTTTTACTTTTATTTGCAATAAACTTATATCTTTATGTATAATGAACTCATTGCACAAAGTTGATTAATAAGAAGTTTGTGATTGTATAAATTTATTAATTAGTTAAAATAGATTCGCCAGGTATTTGCTTAAAACCTTTAAACGGATTGATGCATTGTATGAAGTGCCTCACCTAGTGGCCACGTATTTTAGTTGCTAACGTATTTTATTATTCATGGTGCGAATATATTCGTCATAAGCACTACGCAATAGTTCGACCATGACGAATATATACGACATAACCACTTAAGGAGTTTATAATAGTTTTGAGTATTATCCGTTATGTAAAAACTTTTTACAAATTAAATACATGTTAATTAATATTATTGACCATTATTATAAATATTGCTGATTAGTTGCAGTTTGGTAGCTCATAAATGCGTCAAGCAATCCATGGTATTGATACTACTTGGATTATTGATATTTTGTAGTTGACGTTTGATAGCTTACAAAAGTTAAGCAATTCATAGTGCGGATACTACTTGGATTAATGACATTTTAGATGAGTAGTTGACATTTGGTAGCTTACAAAACTTAAGTCAAAGATTCTATTTTTCAAATATAATTCACACTGAAAAATAATCTAATATTTTAATCCTATTTGGAAGTCGTCAATTGGATTTTCAAAAGTTAAGCAACATTTGTTACAAAGATTGTTTACTTTGTTTTAACTTAATTCGCACAAGACTGAAGAACTTAATGATTGATTAGGAGTTTGTAGGAAATCCTAACAAAAACAATTGCAATTACAAGTACTAAGTACTGTTGATTTTGTGCTGAAATTGATTTCTGCACTGCTGCATTCAATTTCCAGTTCGTCGACTTAAAGGGCGTTCGTGTAATTTCCTTCTGTAAATAATTAAGCTTTGATCTTCGGACTCGCTCCCTTTGGATGTAATCCATTTAATTCATTAATACCGCCTGACACCCCTCGATTACCGCATTTCGATTCTATTAATAACATGTCACAGGATAGTGAGATTCTAAATGGAGATTCAATTGAGTTAAATTACGTGATACATAGAACAGTTCTGTAACTGCAATGCAGATTACTATTGTACATTAAGTATATTTAATATACAGAATGATTCAAAACAAACATTTTAATATTTTGTACAGTATAGATTTTTTTATGACTTATTTATTTTTATTTATAAATATTTGCGTCTCATGGTTAACAAATTTATGATACTAATGTTAAGAATTAATCTACATAAAAAGATGCGTCTTATAGTCATATTCTTTATATTGTTTGGAAGATACAAAATCTGCACAAAAAATTCTAATTTGTTTTCTTTACTTAAAAAGGTGCGTCTTATGTTTCGAAAGATTAGGTAATATCTAAAACTGTATTCTGAAAAAGAAACTGAAAATACAAGAACACAAATATTAGAAAATATATATGTTTTAAATATCTCAATTCTAAGTGAAAGATGCGTCCTATGGTAAGAAAAATACAATAATACTGCTTTAAATTTGTACTGTTAAAATCCTGAAAGTATTAGATTCAAAAACCTTTTTATTTTTAATATTATATGGACAACAAATGATCATTGTGTGTGCAAGGCTAATGATCCAACGTTCAATGTGTTAAATAATATTCGGTGTTAAGGCCAAAGCATGTTTGCATGCGAAACGACGAGCGAGACGTATATTTACATTTCCCCGGCTGTAGCAATTTCACAGAATATCCTGCAGTTTGTATTTTATTCGCGCTCCCAGCTAAAAGTAATAGGCCGAGTGAACAGTTTCCGAAATGTTAATAGTTTTTGTGTTTGTTATTGTTGTCACCGCAGAGAAAACAAGGACGTTCGAATCAACGATATTTTTGGCATCGAATATGATTTCCAGTTTCGCGCCACGTTCAATTTCCATTGCATTATTCATTCGAGAAATGGATCCAATAATAGAACTCGTCAATTAACAGACACACACACTCTCATACACACACACACATTGCTTGTTGGCGAATCGAAATCGTGTCACAACAACTATAGAGTTTCAATCAAATGCACAAGCGTTCCGTTTAAATTGATAATTCTCTCGACACAACATCTCTCTTCCTCAGTGTATGGAATATGTAGAGAAAAATAAAATAGCAGTGTATCACAACAATTGCGGACGCGGATCATGGTCCATGATTATAACGCGTTCTTGGAACCACGATGTTGCGTTATCAATTTTATCTGGTCCCGTTCAACGACACCACCCAGGAAACATTCTTCGACTGTTTTCACTTACTCTTCCCCTGCTTCTGTGTTTCAGTGTTTCCCAATGTACCTCCACCTGGAATGCCATGCCAAGGAGAAGATCGTAAGTATTTGATTCTTATTACATTTGAATTAACCCTACATTATCGAATATAATACGAAGAATTTGTACTCATTTTAGGCGTGTATTGAACTCGTAAAATCTTGAGTATAATACGCACAGTTCGTAGTTACTTTAGTCTTCAAAAAAATAGGGATGCGTACTGTACTCTGGTATTTTTTGTCGTAAAATCTCGAGTATAATACGCACAAATTGTACTGTTTTAACACAATAAACAAGGGTGCGTAATATACTCGAGTACTAACAACAACATTGAATAAGCACCCATACTGTTCTGACAATGATTTTTGACATAATTGTGTTTTTTTTATAATCAAATTTTGTAAAGTGTCTTCGTATTATATACAAATTTCTATTTACCAAAAAAAAAAATAAGATTTTACGGTAATACTTGTATGCGAATATATAGCCAATAATATAAACTTTGATTTGGTTTGTCTATATTTGAATGATCCAAAAATATATTATCAATCAGTAAATTTGAAATAAAAACGTAAGTGCGATGAACCATGGCTGATGTAAGCCCGTCCATCCACTGCGAGCGAGCAGATGGAAATCGTTGATTTATTACGCACATCTCATGAAGTGATCATTTCCCCATTCTATATTGATATCCGCTCGAGTAGAATGTCTCCTTCTGCTCGGTCGACATTGATCACCAATGAACTACGAAAAGGTTTAATCAGTCGATCCCAAGAAAATCTTCCGTCTTTGCCAATTTAGTTTCCATCTCGCGAATTCCATTATATCCGCAGATATTAAAGCAATAAGTTCACTTTCAATCCACAACTCATAAATATATTCCTTAGCTTTATAAAACCATCAAGAATTCAATGTTTTTTACTCTTTATACTAAAACCCGATAGGCGTCGACCTTTGATTGATACCATTTTATACAAACAGTTTTATATGTAATACTATACTTTGTATTCGTATTGGATTACGGCAATCATAGCTATTATATAATCATTGAAAACCAAGTATAAAAGTAGGAATTATCTTCCTAAATTTAACACTCCATCGAACATACACTTTTTTTATAAATACTTTCAAATAGTTATTTTTTGAACCTACTTAATCTCTTACACTGAACATATTTTATATACAAATATTTCAGTAATTACTAAAATAAAACTTACAGTATCTTATCATAGGATCGATTGGGTAAGAAATGTAAACATAAATAGATTATGGAAGTTACAAAATTACTATAAACTGCTGTAAATACAATTTCAATTAAGTCTGGATCAATCGAACTAAACTAATATCAAATAGAAAGCTTTTGTCATTGATCTGTATGATTTAAGTTGAACAGTTTATACTATTAATCAATTTGCAAAATTATGAATTTGTTACATAATTTTATTTCATATGCAGTTACGGGATATAGTTTTTATCGTTTTTACACGAGTATATAGATAAAGTTGAATCTGCTCATTGAGCCGGATGACGTTATCATTGATATTAATATTGAAATGATGTTATACATGTATAAAAAATATAATATGATGTTATATAAAGATTTTACAAGTAAACATAAAATTGTTATGAAATTTGTTGCATATTAAATATTGATTAAGGAAGTACAGAAAGTTGTTGGTTGTTTTCAATATGGTTAGTCGAATTATTATTAAGTTTTATATGAACATAAGGTCGGTGTGCATAAAATAAGTTTAGAACTTGTAAAGTGTGATAGTGTAATATTATCAAAGTTCGGCGTTTCCTGCCCAGGAAACTTATTTAATGTACACCGTTGGTCCGCATCGAAAACTTGCGGACCTTTGAGGGAAAAGGTCGATACCTTTCCAGTCTTTGCACCTAGAATTGCATGCATTCACGCCCATCAAAATCGCAGCAATAAATAAGCTCCGTATTTGTCAGCGTCTTTAAGATCTGGTTAATTAATTTCCTAGGAATCAAATATACGATACTCGACTTAGTTGTTATAAACACCGGTGTGCAGCATAAATAATGCATGTCCTCTCCGTGCTCGAATGATTTAACGCTTCAAAATAGAATCCATTAATACGTTAGCTAGATGGATCGTTTACATTTGAATGCGGTGGATGTGATGATGCAATTTACAAAACTCAATCTAAAAACTGTAAGTAATGAATTATTACCTGCATATTCATATGGTCGGAGCTTGTATAATTGCAACAGCGAAACGTGGAATAACTAATGATAATTGAGGTCCAGATGGAATAAAATAGCGTGCCCGAAATTAAGTAAATGCATGGTGGTGCGCACATTCGCAAGAAATATTTAATATGTGAACTTTCAACCTGTATAAAATGAGGACAACGTGTTCGAAAAACCCATTTCCCGATAACTTAAGTAAATTGCACCAAACTTGTTATTATTTAATGTTAGTCTGGCAATTATTTATATACTTTCTAATATTATTTATAGTTAATACAATTATTATACGAGAAAATTCATTTATATTTAATCAACTTTTGAGTTATGTGCAGTACGTGTATACTGTGATCGATCGTCTTAATATCCTCTGCATCTGCGCATGGCGTATACTGGAGTCATAAATTCAAATTAGAAATAAATTGAGTTCACAATTAGTTCGTTAAAACCAAAAAGCCTTAGTATTTACTCTTATTTTAGGTATTTATATAAAGCGCATTTTAGATTTGTATTAGACCAACAATTTCCAAACTATAAGGCACGAAAGCTTAACTGTAATTTCCATAAAATAAAGGCGTCAAGATTAGATTTCTTACTTAGTTTGGAAACCAATACATTAGACAATAGAAGTGTCATAAGTAAACATTGCTTTTGTCCATGATGATGAAGTGATGTCTTCTCAATATATAGTAAATACACATGATAGATACAAAACTTATACTGTGAAACAGCTTGGAACCAAGTTTGTTGGAGAGTCCAATATTCTGAATTGAAATAATCTTTCAGCAATGAACTGAAATTGCTCAGAAAAAATAATGTGTTTTTATATTCAAAGAACTAAAATTACTTGGGTCGTAATGGAAATGTCACGCGTTTGTGCACTAATCTGTTTTTTCCTTGTTCCTTTTCACAAGTCCACACTATCTCGACATCTGATTTATAAAACTCCTCGCTGGCTATTAATTATTTTAAGTGTTGGCAATGTAAATAACGTGTATGTACATAATTTATCTATGTTTCTCATTATTTACATGGGTATTAGCTACTACGAACATTTATAATCACTACGTACCTTTTATTTATAGTAAGCTAGATGTAGGACATGAATTTCCTTAGCATCTATAATTTTTGAAATATACGTTTTTATTTTCATTTAAAAAAAAAGTCTGTATAGAAACATTATAGTTGCATATGATTATTGATTAGATAGTGTATATATTTACTGTTGTTACAAATTTAAATGCTTAAATTTAATTTGTTGATTTTAAAAAAATGTAACATGAATTTAAAGTTTTGATTCTAGGATTGTAAATTTTACTAGAGATTTTGATTCAGATTCAATCAAGAAGATTAAGCATTTTTTTATAGAAAAGTTTCAGAATGCTATAAAATTGTTTTAAATACGATACAGACTTACAAGCATCAGTCTCTATCCGCAATTACAGTTTTGAGTAGAGTTTCAGTATTTAATGTGAGCGATGTAGGTCAAATGGTGTGGCCGTCGGGCAAAATTGCATATGCTTTGAGTTATTACGATGTATTCACTTTAGTTTCGTCTGGTGGAAGACACAAAAGACGGCGTTAACATTCTCTTAAATATTTAATATTTCTGGATTGCGGCGCGCATTTAGAATGCATATTTAAAATAGCAACTTTGAGTTTCTTTCCGGGCATGAAAAAAAGAGAATGAAAGAGCGTGAAGTATTCCCTTTTTTGCCGTATGCCTTATTTATATATATATACATTTTGGACCTCAGTCGTTTATTCTCTTGACAGATCGATGGAAGTTTAGGCAGTCATCAATTTACAAAACCATGTGCGTTGATCGCAATGGGACAATACATTTGTTCAAAAAATGTAGTACTGTTTTGAATTATGACTATATCAGGACTTATTAAGTTGTTAGGTAGCTTGAATTGAATGAAGTGGTGGTAGTTTGCAATACGATGTGTTTAATGGTACTATTGATTTCCATAGGGAGCATATACAGAAGAGGGGCGCGTCGCTGGCGCAAATTATATAGAGTCAATGGGCACATATTCCAGGCGAAGAGGTTCAACAGGGTAAGTTTTCAAGATTTAAATGATTGAGAGTTGGATGGGAATTGTGTGCGTTTGTTGCAGAGGGCATTCTGTGCTTACTGCAGGGATCGGATCTGGGGATTGGGACGGCAAGGATTTAAGTGTATTCAATGTAAGCTGTTAGTGCATAAGAAGTGTCACAAGGCTGTACAATCTCCGTGTACCAACGAATTGGTTGAGCCTGTCGTTGGTAAAGAGGATCATAATGGGGAAGCATCTGCAGTTCGAGCTTCCTCAGAATTGGTTGCCGATTATCCAGTTATACCGCCAGACGTTACCGGTGAATCGGTTCCAATCGAGGATCCATCACAGCCGGCGGATGATTTGGAGCCAGGCACCCAGAGGCAATACTCCGTGAAAGATTTTGAATTTATCCGCGTTATCGGACGCGGTTCTTACGCCAAAGTCTTGATGGTTGAGCTGAAGAAAACTCGCCGGATCTACGCCATGAAGGTTATCAAGAAGGCTTTGGTAACGGACGATGAAGATATCGATTGGGTGCAGACTGAAAAGCACGTTTTTGAAACGGCATCAAATCATCCGTTCCTCGTCGGATTGCATTCGTGTTTCCAGACGCCGTCGAGGCTCTTCTTCGTCATCGAGTTCGTCCGAGGCGGAGACTTGATGTTCCACATGCAACGTCAACGTAGATTGCCGGAAGAACACGCTCGTTTTTATGCCGCCGAGATCTCCTTGGCGCTCAACTTCTTACATTGCAAAGGAATTATTTATAGGGATTTGAAATTGGATAACGTATTATTAGATCACGAAGGGCATATTAAATTGACTGACTACGGGATGTGCAAGGAGGGGACCCGTCCCGGCGACACCACCTCGACGTTCTGCGGAACGCCCAATTACATAGCTCCAGAAATTTTGAGAGGCGAAGACTATGGATTTTCAGTGGACTGGTGGGCATTGGGAGTGTTGCTTTACGAAATGCTTGCCGGCAGATCTCCGTTCGATATCGCCGGAGCCTCCGAGAATCCTGATCAGAACACAGAGGATTTCCTCTTCCAAGTTATCCTAGAGAAGACGATCCGTATTCCGCGCTCGCTGAGCGTAAAGGCAGCAAACGTACTTAAGGGATTCTTGAATAAAAATCCGGCCGATCGACTGGGATGTCACAGCCACAACTCCTTTGTTGAGATTCAGGAACACCCGTTCTTTAAAAGCATCGATTGGGATATGGTGAGTTTTCTTTTTTTATATACACATCCATAGGACAAGGTAACAAACATTCGTGAATAGCTGGAATCGAGGAATCATCCGGTTCCGTTTCTGCCACAAACAGAAAACGTTCTCGACAATTTCGACGTTCAATTCACGTTCGAATCAGTGTCTTTCACTCCAGAGAATAAGTGAGTTTTTGTAAGCTAGCTAAAGTAGTGCATTTGAACATTGCAGCTCGAACAGAAGCAAGTCCAGCCCCCGTACAAACCCCGCTTGGATTCGGATAGAGATTTGGCTAATTTCCCGCCAGAATTTACAGATGAACCCGTACTTTTAACCCCAGACGACCCGTAAGATCTTTTTGCTTTCATTTCCCCAAATTTTCAATTACGTTATTAATCGTGTGCTTTTTCTCTTTTTTTTTATACAATAGACGTGTCATCGAGAAGATTGATCAATCCGAATTTGAGGGCTTCGAATACGTAAATCCGTTACTGATGTCTTTGGAGGACTGTGTGTGACACGACGTATTGTGTGCCCTTCATCCCAGTAATCTACCGCCTCCGCCGCCCTTACCTAGATATCCACCACCGCTTTTCCCTCCTCCGCCACCACCAGAACTTGACGACTATCTCCAAGTGGACATGCGACCCAGCAAGTCCCTACTACAGAATATATTCTGCCTTCCACTAAATTAAAAAAAGAAACATTTGATATATGATAAGTATATATCGGTACTCTTTCCCGAGCGTCGAAGCTCCTTGAAGCCTACGAATAGGAAAGAGGAGAAAAAAAAAACGTTTTTAAGTTTATGAACTTTGTTTCATATCCACTTATATGAATTTGTTATTTGCGGTTATTTTGTTTTTCTTTTGTCATTCCCAAACTATTGTTGAGTAATTTATACGGATATATATTTAATGAGAAATTCGTTAGAATCTAGAATTCAAACAAAATTCTAAATAATTATATATATTTAATATACAGACTAGGAGCCAATATTATATAAGATTATATATATATATAAATTATACATATATTATACAAAAAAAAACGAGAGATGATAATGAATATTTAATATTGGACAAAAAAAACTTTTGCACCTGTAAAACGCTGCGTAAAACAAAACTTTATTAACAATTTAGGGGCGTTGTTATTTATAAAATCTTTTGTTCTTCGATTGTTTATTGATTTTATTGACTGAGGGAAGCCCGATTTGTCGCGCCTCCCCAAAACAGTTTATATAATTTTTGGTAAATGACTATATATATATATTGTTAGCTTAGATAGTTTATTACAGAAACAAATATATATATATGAAAAAAAGTATATTATACTAATAATGCTGTTTTTAAAGAGAATGAAAAAAAACTTTGTAATTTATTGTTACAAAACGAGAAAAAGAAAATTGTAAGTATTTTCATTTCGGTATTACATTGAGGACTAAAGTATTATTTTTGACATTCCGCTATATGATTATATATGTATACACTATTGACTATTATATATTATGAACATTAAGGAATTTTGTATTCATTTTTTTTTACACATTTAAGTTAATGTATTTAATCTCTTATTTACTACATATTGTATTATTTATATAATAAAGTTGATTATTTAACAAATCATATGTCGTTTATATAATTCATTCATTCATTCTTGCTAGCGAATTGTAATTGCATATTATTACAAAGATGAAAAATATTACAAATTAGTTACTTATTACAGCTTTTGATGAAAATGTATGAACTATCTGTAACTTTTATGTAACCAGTAAAATTACATGAATATATTATATTTATAAAAAATATACCTATCTGCTTCCTATATTCATTTCAACTCATATCTTATAATAATAATAATTACAGGTTGATTCCCTCTACAAGAATAACGAACGACAACTAATTCTCCATAACTACGAGTTTTATTAGAATCTTTATACTTAACAAGGTACTAATATCAAGTGTTTATAGCGTGTTATAATAATGAGATTTGATGATTGATCACATTAGAAACCAACTCAATATATTGGTTTATGAACTTCGCAATAATGTTTACATAGAAACCAATTTGTACTAAATATGACCGTTATTAAAACAATCAAAATTGAATGTTTAATTTGTTTAAATAAATAAAAGCTTTAAATGTAAGTTTTAATTTATTGATAATATATTTTTCTTTGCTTTAATTAATTTTGTTTTGGAAATTCGAGGATGTTTACTAATATTTTAATTATTAGGAATATATTTTTTAATTAATTATTAATAAAATAGTTAAATAATCGTCACTTTATATAATAAGTAGGTTACTTGTAAGATAGTTATTATAGGCAACTTGTTTTTCAAATTTTAATCATATATAATTAGAGAAAAAGATATAAATACAACAGTACTTTTATATAAGATTGGTATATAGGTTTAAACAATAATAATATATTTAATGATTGTAAAAAAAATAGATTAAACTTTCTTAATGAACTTTGTAAGAAATAGGAATTTCCTTGGGAAGTGAGAAGAGAAGTTAATTACTAAGACCTGCCAACCCAAACGCTTAAAAGCCAATCTCCAACAAGTCAAAATGGTGGATTCTTATTTATTTTGATAAATTTTTGTGATTATATGCCTTCCTTTTTTATTTATTCTGGTGAGTGCCATAAATAGTTAATAAATAAGTGCACTTCCAGCTGTACCAAATGCCTGTACGGAAATATTAGGTAATACACATCTGGGACGGCGTCGGATTTTTCCAAAAAAGGCCAACTTGTTTTGGGGCCAGATTTATTAATATAAATTACTTAATAAGTTAAACACAGCAAAACGAATTTGCGTTAAGATTCACTGGATTTCCGTAACTTAAGTTCATTGCCTTTTGGTGATCTCTGCTGACTGGAACCATCAAAAAATATACCCACTGTCACAGTTACTATATTAATATTAATTTCTTGTGCAAATCTTCATTTAACAATCTTAAATGCTTGAGGGATCTTCCTAATAACTATCTATTAGTTATCTAGGTTAATTGAATCAGTCTTCATGTCTGGGATATAATTGTAGATGTTCAATACATTGGTTATTTGGTTTATTGTAATTATTGTATGTGTGTGTACATTGTTACATTTTTCCACATGTAAATGACGAAAATGTTTCCACTTTCTAAGAGAGGAAAGATTTTCATTTAAAACTACTAATTGATTTCGCTTTGTGTGCGTTAAGCCAGTCGCGAAATAATAAATTAATGTGTGCGCTTTCGACGACGTCATCGCTTTTATTTTTCGTCAAATATCGTCAAAGTCAACAAATGATATATATTTCTAGTAATTCCATATAATTCACACTAATTCGCTAATAGATTTGGATCCTACAACCACCAGATACAGATCCCCTCATTATGTAAAGTATGTTTGGTATATTTGCAAGATGACAAAATACAGTGCAGCTTTCCTTAATTGGTTCAAGGAAAAGTTATTGTGTCTAAAGTATAATTTTCTTCTATGCAATCTTATTGAATGTGTTCCCTGTAGATTTAGTACAAACTTGAAGTCTTGTTTCTGGAAGTAATCAGTGTAGAACGTTTTGCACATCTCAATGCACAGTTACAAAATAAATACTTTCTATTTGGTATTCTTTGCAGGGTAATATTGAACTGTTTTGTTTCAGACACACAATGGCTTCAAACAGTGATGGCAACACTAGCAATGGTGAGTTTAAATAGTTTAAAGATTTCCGTGTAAATGACAATTTTGAATTCAGGACAATTATCACGGAACTTTTCGATGAATGCAGGCAGTCCAAGAGAGAGGGATTATGATACACTATTGCAGCAGTATGATAAGGCAAATGCTGAGTTAATCACATTGCGGCGAAGATGCGAGCACGCCATGAAGGTTGTACATTGTGTTTGAGGTAAATAATTTGGTTTTAATTGCATTTTGCTTATAGGAATTGGACTATTACAGGACGCACCATCGAGCCTCGGCGTCGTCGCAGGACTCTGGATCGTTGCGCACAAAATACGGAGACATCCTGGGAGACAATCAAAGGTTAGCGAAAGCTAATTTATTTCGAAACGGTGTGATGGTAATGCTTGATTTTTTATATGTTGAGCAGACATAGCGAAGACTATGACGCGCTAAGGAAACGCTACGACGACCTTCTAACACAGCACACCCAAGCTATAGCCAAACTTGAGATTGCCCAAGACGAGGCCGGTCGCATTACTAAGCAATGCGAGGAATACAGCCAGGAGAGGAATAATTCGGTACATTCACACTCATTTTTAAGCTTCATCATTGTTTTTTTTTCAAATTTCTCCGTTTTGTTTAGTTGCGAGATGTCGCGAATCTGAAGCAGCAGCTGACAAAAGCATATGGGCAATGGGATATAGTAGTAAGAGATTGTAGCAAGTTCCGAGAAGCCCTTCAAATTTCTCAACAGAAATACGAGGATGAAGCCAAACAGGCTTTGGCATTTCGGATTAAGGCGACGAAGGAGCTGCAGCGTTTGACGGAGGAGCGAAACGCCAGCATGTCCGAATACAATCTCATAATGAGTGAAAGGTGAGTGTGACTCATCACATTTCTTATCAAATAAAAGATAAGCTTATACATATATATTTTTTGCGCTCGAGTAGAGATACAGTGCATAAAGAGATGGAGAAGCTGTCAGATGATCTAACTCAAGCGTACAAAAAAAACAAGTTGCTGGAGGCTGGGAACAAGGAGCTGGCTGAAGAGAAGCAGAGCTTGAACTATCAAATGGAATCTCTGAGGAGGGAAATCGCGAGTGCGCTGCACGATCGCGATAAGGCGTTGAAGGAGTGTAACGATCTGCGGGAGAAGTTCGGTGAATACAGTGCTAGCAAGGAGGAGAATCGCGATCTAATGAAGAGCAGGCTGGACAGTTTGAATCATCTCGGGGAGAATTCGACCAGGAAAGAGGTTCAAGTGGATTCGCGCAGTTTCGCACAGCGACAGCGTCTCGACAATTTGGACCAGGCCAATCAAGAGTTGGAGAGTCTCCGCAAGAGTTTGGATAAAACGCAATGCGAATTGACGGAGGCCATCCAGGAAGCGGAGGTGTCGAAGGGTCGACGGGATTGGGCATTCTCCGAGCGTGATAAAATCGTTCTCGAACGCGAGAGCATCCGAACTTTATGTGATAATATGAGGAAGGAGCGAGACAGGGCTGTGTCAGAGTTGGCCGAATCGCTACGAGAATCCGATGCCATTAAGAAGCAACGAAATGAATTGATCAAGGAAGTTAAAATGCTCAAAGAAACGTTGGAGATTCAGATGGAGAAGGAGGCTCAGCTGAATCAGTTCAGAGACATGGGGCATACCCATTCCCATGACAGTGCAATAGACAGTGATATGCAAGTAAGTAACATCATGAATGACAACATGTATAGACAAACTTGGTTCTTGATCAATAGAAAGAAATATGACTAGCATTTTCATTTGCCTATTTATATTTATTTCGCGTCAACAGTGGTGGAAATCTTTGAGAATCTATATTAAATACACTAATAATGTTGTGTTAATGACTGTTTATCGTATGTACTACGCGTTCAACTAGTATCTTAAATACATAGAACTTAAAGATTGTCTATACTTCCTGTCTAATTGAAAAATAGCATAGTTAATAGTGTGGTTTGTAACTTAGGAATGGGAGACTGAAATCCTTGAAATAGACTTGTCTAGGCTAACGAAAGACAACGATTTAGGTTTTAAAGTAGTTGAAGGAAGGGACAACCCGCATTTTCCTAATGATAACGGAATTTACGTGATGTCCGTAAATAAAGGGTCCGTGGCGGAGGGCAAGCTGCGCGTCAACGATTGCATAACACGCGTGAACAACATCGATTGCAATTCGATATCGACTCGGTTATTCCTAGAGACGATAAGGGCCAGTATTCCTGTTGTGCATCTGGTTGTCAGGCGGAAGAAAAGTCCGAATTGGTCGCCGCAATCTCGAACCACGCCTCCTAGCTTTCAGAACAATGCAAAGGTCGCTCGATGGGTGCACACTGCAAAGCTGGCAGCCGGTTGCCATGGGCTAAGTCTAGAATCGGGTGTTTATATTAGCAAAATAAGCGATGGTAGTTTAGCTTCGAAAGATAGCAGCTTAGTTGTTGGAGATAGAGTGTTAAGAGTAAACAATAAATCTATGGATGGCTATGACAGCATTCACGAGGCGATGGTGATACTGAACGACGATCGGGCAGACGCCATCACGATAACAACGCTGAAGATGAGTTATTTGGATCCGGAATGCACGACTAACGTGTTTATGCCGGTGCAAAGGTATAAGAAGGAAAACAGGAGTTCGCAGACGGAAGACTATAATAATGGGGACTACTATGACAGAAGATACATTCAGCATGTGCTGCCTGATTTCAGGACCAAAAGCAATCAAGAGACCAAAAACAGTGGCGCTTGGTTAGAAAAGTTGGGTATTGGTCGAGGTAGGAGGCATTCGAAAGATAGGAATAGATGTGAAGGAAATAAGAAGTATAGGAACAGTTCGCCGAACCCTTTGGAGTTGGTTTCGAACACCTTTGAACAGGAACAAGCGATCGCCGAATTAGATTTGGTAATTGAAAGTTATCATGGGGATGGGGCAAATACAATGAAGAGAACGAAAAGGCACGGCAAGGAAATGACGACGCAGGAGAAAAACGGAGGTACTTGGCCTAAGACTAGAGCAACGAATATTTTGGAGAACACGATGGGAACCATTGTTGCAAGGAAAAAACAGCGTCCGGGTTTGAGTCTGCTGATCAACAGAGACAACGAGTCGGACTATTATTGTCCGAATCAGATGAATCGGAATTCGACACCAGTGACACTGACTGTGCCACCGAATTTGAACAGACACAGCGCATACAAAAGCATGGACAACTCGTCGCATTTTCCTAAGGACTTCAGTTCGGTGAATGATTCGTTTGAGAAGCTGCGGGAAAACAAGATCAACGATTTCGATGCAGCGCGCGACGGCGGGACCCGCCTCAGTATGAACATGAAGAGTGATGATAGTTTGGATTTCTCCAAATCTATTAGGGATAAGGACAGCTACTACAGACCCAAAACTAAAATCGGTAAGTCTTTTACGTTTCTATGCAAAATACACGTTTTTCTTATCGCATACACATTTTTGATTAAGGAGTTAGCATTGACATTTAGAAAAAAAATAAGAACGAAAAAATCGAAATTTATGTTAAGTATATTCAATTTGAATCGCATTTAAAATTCATCAACGTGTAATATTAATGATAACGCATTTATTATATTTACATTTTTCAAAGAATAATTAATTACACCATAAACGATGCTAATTTATCATCTCCAATAAAAGTAATAAAATAATATTTTAATTATTTTAAATTATATCAATATGTTTTTAATTACATAACATTGTTAGTTTTTTTTTTAATTTATATTACTGATCTTTTAATCAATTGATAAATAACAGATAAATAAACGTAATACTATTTAGCTTTCATGGATATACTGCTAAAAGCACCATTCAGTTAAATTTAAAGAAAAAATTGCAATACAATTTGGGTTTACAGAGAAAGTTTGAAGAGTAAATGCATTTAGTTTATTATTGTGCTAAAAGCAAAACAGTTAATGTAAGTTGTTAGTAAATGTATTAAACAACAATGTGTAATATACATTTTCTGTTTAAAACAGAGGTTCCCAAACTTGTTTGTGTCGTAGACCCCTTGTCATGTTTTTCGGTTTTGGGTAGACCTCCTACTTATCTGATATTGATTTTTTGTAACTTTATTATTTATATTGAGGCATCTTTATAATTATTAAGATCTTTGCTCTGAGACTGCGTATGCTTGTAACAAGATGATACTGGTATATCATTATGTGCAGGTTTTTACAATTTCAAAATGTATTGCGACCACAAAGCGAATGGTTACATCCTACAACTTACACAATTTTATGAACATATATAATATTTTTTTACTTCATAGGTAAATAATGTATATGTCTTTATATTATAAGATAGTATAATGTAAGTAAATAGGTACTATCAGTGTATGTTGAGATCCACTATCGTGGACCCCCATTTTCATTTCATGGACCCCCAAACTTTTTTTTCGCTGACGTAGACCCCTTGCAGGTTGTCATAGACCCCTGGGGGTCGATATAGACCACTTTGGGAATCACTGGTTTAAAATAATTAATAGGAAACTGCAGCTTCTAGAAACAATCATAAATATTTATTTTTATAATTATTAAAAATTAATTTACATTAGAATTACAGTGTAACTTTCTATTATCTTGTTTTTTCAAACGTTTAGCATCTTGCGTCTATGATTAACAAATGTTTAACGAATTTCAGACAAATCTAGTAGATATGACTTCATATAATCTTAAGATATATTATTATATCATATATTACTTTTACAAGAGATTGTGTTGTTGTAAAAGGTAATGGAATAATGGGATGTGTTCTTATACTTGGTGTATGTTTTAGGTGGCACCAAGTACGGATCAGATTCGGAACGAGACAGCTTAATCGGTCACGAAGGTTTTCCGACAGCTCACACACGAAACCATTCGCAATTGTTCGGACCTCCGCCACGAGTGCCGTTCCCTTTTCATCCTCATTCCCACCCGAATCCATCCCCCGTGAATTTTCCTAACAGCAGTCACTCACGCGAGAGTTTCTGCTTCGAACCGCACTATCCTCCCTACTCGCATTCACACAGCCCCTCCGTAGATGTCGCCTACCCCAAGAGGAATTTAACATCGATACCGCCGATCTATTCGTATGTACCGTACCGCGACTCGGACCTCATGTACACGCAGAATTTTGAGGTTGGCACGTTTCCGAGGAAGAAGGAGAACCAGAGGTTTCGGATCCCTTCGAATCCGAGCGTGACATCCAAGAATTCCGCTGGAAAGGTGAGCACAGGAAGCATAGAAAGAACTTCGGAACGGGGCAGTCCGATGCCGACATTTCAAGTGGAAGTGCTGAAGACAGGCGCGAAACGCAACAGCGTACCAGACTACTGCTGGCCTCACAAACCATCGCAAGGTGATCTGCGGAAGGTGCACATAGACAAATCCAACGAACCATTGGGTATACAAATTGCCGATAATGGAGGCATTTTCGTCTCAACGGTAAATGATAACAGTCTGGCCAGTAGGGTTGGGTTGCAGATCGGTGATCAGCTCTTAGAGGTGTGCGGAATCAATATGCGAAACGCAACGTACAATTTAGCGGCGAACGTCTTAAGGCAGTGCGGCAACTCGATTACAATGCTCGTCCAGTATAGTCCGGACAGTAAGTTTTCCAGTCACCGAAAATTTGATTTCCTTATACCCTATTCATTACATTTTAGAATATCGAGAAATTCAAGGTCCTGGCTTCTGCTCAGACTCTAGCTCCAACGAGGACGGAGATGGCGAACCTACACCTTGCAACTCTCCGAAAGAAATACGGAAATCGCATCCCGCTTCGTTGAGTTTACCGCTTTCCGCAATGGCTGGTCAGAATAACATCAATCATAGTCAGCAAGCATCTACGAACCTTCAAAGGCAAAGTAGTGGTAATAGGAACGAGGAGGAGCAGCGATATCTGTCCATAAAAACATTGAAAACCTCGAATCTGGGTATTTCGTTGGTCGGCGGTAACGCTGTGGGTATCTTCATCCATTCTGTTCAACCCGATTCTTTGGCTTACCACGCTGGTCTTCGCACTGGTGATCAAATACTTGAATATAATGGAAGTGATCTGCGACACGCGACTGCCGAAGAAGCCGCCTATGAATTAGCCAAACCAGCTGATAATGTTACAGTCTTAGCACATTACCGAATAGATTGTAAGTATTACATTAAATTACTTCACAACTAATAGATTGTTTTAAATGATTCTAAAATATTCTAAAGTATTAACCAAAAAATGTATGCTTCATTATTTCAATTAATGCGCGTAAAATTTAAATATTGATATAATTAATATTTAAGGACTTGTTGAATATGATATAACATTTTTGATGATTACAATTTTAGGATAAATATTTACTTTTGATGAAATGTTTCAGGTTACAACGAAATTAAGGATAAACCAGGTGATAGTCTTTACGTACGTTGCGGCTTTGATAGAACTGGAAGTGAGGTGGCCGATAATTTGCAGCTTTGTTTTAATAAAGACGATGTTTTATACGTGGATAACACTATGTTTAATGGTGTCCCGGGGCATTGGAGGGCTTGGAAGCTGGACAGCGAAGGACACAGACAGCAATGTGGAATTATACCAAGCAAATACAAGTAATTTCATCCTACAAACACTAATTGCAGTAGCTTATAATTTAACTATTTAACAGAGTTGAGGAAGAATTGCTGTTAAGAAGAAGTAGCGGAGATCTGGAGAGCCGTGGTTCAACGACGGCGAGGAGAAGCTTCTTTAGACGTAAGAAGCACCAGAGGAGCGGATCACGCGATTCCAAAGAGCTAGCAAGTTTCTGTAACGTTTCGTCCGGTTGGTACTCGGATAACGGAACGCTTCACGAGGATCTCTCGCTTTGCTCGTATCAACGCGTCGAGAGATTGGATTGTGAGTGATCGTGGGATGAATCGAAAACACAAAAGTGGTAACAATGTTTATTATCTCTTCTCAGATCAAGAATTCAGACCGGTTTTGGTGCTTGGTCCATTGGCCGAGTGTGTGGTCAAAAAACTGGAGAACGATTTCCCCAATAAGTTTAGGAAGATCATTTCGGAGACGAGACCCGCCTCCCAGGGTGCCTTGAACCAGGATCTAGCGGACAACTTGATAATCGATTACAAGAGGAAAGGGAACTATTTCGAATGTACTACAGTTTCAGCAATTCGCTCTGTCTGTAGCTCGGTTAGTTTATTTTTATTTACATACTCAAAACTTTCATTAATTGTTTTAATTAATTGCAGAGATTGCATTGCATGATAGATATATCTATTTCGTCAGTGGAAAAATTGCATCGGCATCAAATTTTTCCGATTGTCCTTTTGATTAAGTTCAAAAGCACGAAACAAATTAAAGAAATTAAGGACACGATTTACTCATCGGACAAGTTGTCCGGAAAGGCTGCTAAGGAAATGTACGAGCATTGCCAGAAGTTAGAGGCCGAATATCGACACCAAATTACAGGTAACGTTGAGGTCAACATGCAAATTTTCTAAAAAAAATATCTATTCATGTATTTTCTTGCAGCTGTTATAACGGCCGGTGTGAATATTACTCATATTTGCACGCAAGTTAAGGCAGCTATCGATGCAGAACATAACAAAAGCCAGTGGGTTCCAGTACAGTGAAAAATATAGTCTCGAAACACCAAATCTTGCCTCGAACACAATTTTAATATTAGATGATTTTATAATATTAACAAGCGAAAACGAAATCCTGTTAAAACGTAATATTTAAAAAGAAAAAGAAACACACTTTTAGGCCTAACTTTTTACATCGGTTACCAATTGATATACAACATATATATATATTTACACTCATATATAATCTTCCAAACGTTATTTGTTTTCTTTGTCTCTATTGGTTTTAAAGATTTTTACACGTCTTTAATCGAACATATACTCAATTTTATTGTATATATACATAACTTTTAGATGAATTTTTATAATATATATATACACACATATATAAAGAAAAACAATTAAATTTGAGAGAAACATGTACGAAAATTATTACTCCCAATTTTTAAATAGGAACTACAACTATTGTAATACATAACACAGTATTTTTTTTATATTATATTATTATGTTTATGTTTTATTTTTATCTGTTAGGTATATGGTTTGTATAATTTATGTTATTAATTTTTATTTCTTCTGTGATTATTATTTTTTTCTCTCTTTATTTTAAAATCTATATATTGTATTTTGTTTTTTTTTTGTTGGCTTTGGCCTCTATGTATATTTCTTTTGAAGAAGTAAAGATTTTTTTCTTAAAGAAACGTAGTTATTACAATGTAATCGTTACTTCTTTTATTTGTTAACAAAACGTCCTCCACAAATCTCAGGTAAGATATTTATAAATTTGAGATTATGTATATTTATTTTTCAGGTAAGAGTTTTTCTTCTAGAAGAAATGTAGTTATTAAATAGTAATCGTGACTTTTATTGAATTTATGACTCAAGTGTGATTATTATAACACTTTTAAGTTTAATAATAAGTTTTTAAAATATAACCATTTGATTGATATTCAACAAAGGTGATTATGTTGTTTATTACTCATTTGTTTTGTATTAAAATATACTCAAAAATATTCATATATTTATATTCTTTGAAAGTATACGATTCATTGCAAATGAACACAATGCAATACATTTGAAGAACTAAAAAAAACATCTTTGCAATAAATATGAAATGAAACAATGGTGTATAAATGTGATGTGTCACTTAACATTTAATTGTGTTTTTGGTAAGGATTATAGGTATTTAATAACATATTTAAAGCTGAGTCGTAATCAGACCCCATTAATCAAAAAGAATTTCTATGTAAACGGATTGATAGAAAACGCAATGAGCTTCTAATCAAACACGTACCATCCTGTTACATCAAAAATCCAGATAAGCGACATGCAACTTACTTCTGCATTTCTGGAAATCGGCGTCTACGAGTCTAGAAAACATTCATTTCGTTACACCAACAATGTCTGCATTAACATTCCTTTTAATTCAAGTGTTCATCATTGCGCAATCCGTGGAGAGAGAGTTGAATCCGAACGGCCCTATCCATATGGAATACGCTTCAAAATGTTTAGTGCATCTCGTGAATGAAAGTTTGGAATTCAACAAGCTTATTACTATAGTGGAAGAGGATTTCCTGGATACTCCAGGATACGAAATCCAGGCGATATTTCTAAAGAAAATGAATGAATTGATGCGATGGTCTTACGAGTCGACTAATGGTGAAAGAAATACTTTCAATTCGTTCACGGAATGCCACGGAAAAGTATGCAAGCATCACTTCCAAACGCTGTTGCGATCGCATTACTATATGGTAATTTCTAAAGACTTCAACTCGATTTACCAGCAGATGCAGAAGATTATGCTGATGAAGACGTTCAGGCACAAGTCAATCTACTTGATTTATTACTATAAGATCGTGGACGATTATGAGGAGACGGCTTGGAAGATCTTGGAAAAGATGTACCAGATGAAGCATTACAGAACCTATGTGTTCATCGCGGCTAAGCCGGATAAGTTTAATATTTATGCCTACGATTTGTATTCGGAGGCAACGCAGGTGTGCGGCTCTAACCCGGAACTGGTGCTATTGAATTACTGCGAGAAAGGGACGTTTTCCAACGACAAATTCTTGATTAGAACTAAGTACAAGAACTTGAGGAACTGCTCCGTGAAAGCTGTAGCTATGACGTTGCCGCCGTACGTGATAAACGAAAAGGATGGTTTGGAGATTCGGCTTTTGAATGCGTTGGGACAATACTTGAATATTACGTTTAATATATCTTTAAGCTTGAGGAGCGAAGGTTGGGGACACAAGAATGGTTCTAGTTGGGATGGTTTGCTGGCTAAGGTTATTGCGGATCCTTTCACAATTGGAATTGGTGGCATCGCTTTGGATGCTGACCGCGTATCGGACTTCGACTTCACCATCGAGTATTTCGTGGAAAGGATGGTTTGGATCGTGCCGGCTGCATTACAAGTGCCTCATTGGAAAGTCATCTTTATTATCTTCCAGTACAGCGTTTGGATGGTGCTTATATTGTTGATACTCATTTTCGGCGTAATATTTTTCGAATTAAGTTACCACAATCCGGATGAATACAAGTATCTCAAAACGATTGGGGCTTCGATGATATTCTCCTTTCAAACAGTGACGGCGAATCCTGTTGCCTTGCAACCAAAAACAAAGGTAATTCGGATTCTCTTCATCCATATCACCTTGTACAGCATAGTAATATGCTGCCTGTATCAAAGTAGCTTAATCGACGTTCTAACTAATCCGCGTTACGAGTATCAACTGCAAACTGAAGACGAAATCTTCGATTCGGATTATGAAATTGGAGGAATCGCATCGTACCGCAATACTTTCAACGAAACGGATAAAAGATCTCTGAAGATTTTCAACAACTACAAAGTATACAATGAAGAGAACGACACCATGTACGTGTGGCTTTTGACTGTAGCGAGGGATAGAAATACAATAACGATCTTAGGCAATTACTATGTGACTTTCCTATTGGCGCAAGAGGATAAGTACATTGTAGACCACAACGGTCGTCCTAAAATCTATATAATAGAAGAAATCTTGTTCCACTTTCCAATAAGAATGCTTTTCCCAAAAGGTTTTCCTTTGCGTGATGTCTTCAATCAAATCATCGATTCCCTAACCAAGGGAGGTATTGTAGAAAAATGGTCCAAAGAGTTATTAACCAAAAAAAAAATAATTGATGATGATGATGACGACGACGACGAAGATGATCACAAAGATAAAGCCAAGGTGATCACTATAGAACATGTCCAAGGTGCATTCACTTTTCTGGTATTTGGTTGCATAACAGCTATCATATTTTTCCTCCTGGAGCTTTTTCATCATAGATTTCACGAAAGCAATGACGTGTACACCTATTTTCAGCAAATTTGGAGGAGAATCAGAAACAAATAGTTGTAGTTGGAAGCACTTTCGCTCTGAATGAATTTCATAACAGTCGAAATATGTACAAAATGCGTTTTGAATATTTGATTAAGTCTCTTCTTCTCTAGAAGGAAATTGGGTGATGGTGAAAGTATTGTTGGTTGAACTGCGGCTGCATCGTGCGGGTAGGAGAGTAGGAGAAAGACATTCATTCCCACGTTTCGTTTTGAATACTTTTCACACCTACTGCGCGCAGAAAGAGATGGCTTCAATGATACAAAGACAGGCGGGACAAGGAAAGAAATACCACTTGCATATTAATAAACATATACACTAACTGGGTAACGGGATACAATGGTTCTACCGTGCATCTTGAAAACACGATACATATCTAACATTTAGTTTTAAACACTCATTTTAATTACATTATCATCAAACATTTAATCACAATAACAAAAAGAAACAGTTTTATTGTAACTAAATTAGTTTCACATAAATAACTTTCAAGTTAGATTTTATTTATACCTACAATAAACTAGTTCCTACTAATTAATATATTCTATGAAACATAATATATAGATTAAAATACGTATAAATAGTGTTTGGTTTTTGTTTTTTCCTACTTGATTATAGATATTATACAGCGATTATTTTTGTTTTGTTTTTCAAATAAACGGATAATTTTTCAGATAAAATCTCTAAGCTTATTGAATTTATTGCAGCAATTTTCAATTTATTTCATCGGTGCTTTCAACGGATTGCCAGCTATTCGGGAAATGTCTGTTGCGGTTCAAGAGATTGCAACGGCAGGTCAAGCGAGAAACCATTTATAAAATTGGTGGTAGTATATAAACGACATGCGATCTAATGAAAATAAATAAATGTAGAATATGATCGATATCTTATTGAAAATTAATTTTAATTGGAATATTATAGCAAATTCACAGTTTCAATGAAAATTTATTACGTTTGAAATGCAATGTTATCAAATTTAATCAATGTTGATATTTTAGAAACCATTTCTATAGTAACATAATTATATTGTAATGTAACCGAAGAAATTGATTCATTTTCTGTATATTTTTTGAACTAGTTAATTCAAATTATTAAAGTCAGAAGTATTTTATAAGTATCATTTAACTTATCAGTAGCTTCATGAAGGAATTTGGTTGGTAATTAAATAACTTAATGATTGATTAATTTTAATGAATGAAAAGTGGAATAGTGGACACATCTTATGGAAAATTAATTTTAAATTGGAATATTGTAGCAAATTCACACTTTCAATGAATGAATGAAGTTTATCACTTGTAAAAATGTAATGTTATAAAATTTAATCAAAGTTGTTATTTGAGAAACCATTTCCGTTACCATAGAATTGATGATATAATGATCATAAACATAATATAGTCAACAAAAAAAGATTGTTATTTGTAAAAGTACATTTTATTTTTATTTGAACATGTTTAGTTGATTTCCTGAAATTTCAATCTAAGATTCTGGTCTCGCTATAACTGCTTGTCTTCCCTGTTGGTGACCTATCAGATTTACTGTATTTACAGATGCTAGCTCTTCATCAGCGCGAATGCCTTTTAGCAATGTCTCAGACTTGATTGACATACATACATACACATGGTAGAGACGCCATAAGGACTTCGGTGTCGACAGTCAGTTACAAAGAAAGTATAGTCCCAAATACACAGTATATACATAAGATTTAAATAACAAATTAATGTTAAATAGAAACATCTTAAATCTGTAATACCAATAGAAAGTACACATTTTATATTAGGATATTTACAAAAGTCATATAAAAATAAAAATCTACTGATTTCTTATGAAAAATACTATCAAGTTTACATTAATAAAATAATTCCAGAAAACAAAATATAATTTTATGAAACATTTCAAAAGAAAGATCTTAAATCTGTTGTAATAGAACAAAAAAATGCTAGTAAAAAAAAATTATATTAATATTTACCAAAGTAAATTATAAAGTAAAGTATACTTTTACAATACATTGAATTACATTGAAGAATCATAATTGCTGCTGTTAAGTTTTATATTAAGATTTATGACAGTTGACGTAATTGAGGAAACAAATTACGATTTTATGATTGCAATAAATATTATTTAACTATTACAAAATGTTAAAATTGTAGATTTGTACTGATATTTATAAAAGAAATTCAGAAAAGAAATGTTTTTTAATAATTAGAAGAAAGTACGTTCAATTCAAATTAGTCATACTTCGGTTAACGAAGCTTTGATATAACAAGGTTATACAGCAAGAAGAAAATAAAATCAAAGAAATTGGAAATAAAGTTATCCAGGGGATGTTAGAAATGTATTTCAAGAAATATCTTCGTCTATCATAATTATACTACAAATGAATGTATACTAATAAATATTACTGTCAATTTTAATTGATGTTTAAGTAAATAGAAGCAATTCAGAAAATTATTTTTTCCTTCAATGTAAATTTGTACAATACTAAGAAATCGGTGGCAATCGCAAGCCCGACAACCGAAATCCCGTCTATTGAAATCCCGACGTTCGAAATCCCGACAGTCTCAGGCTTGCGATATAGACCCCTAAGAAATATGTTTAAGTAAATATACGCAATTCAAAAAAATATTTTTTTTTAATAAAATATTTAATTATAAATTAATGTAAACTTGTAGTGATAATACTAATAAATACTACTGTCAATTTGATATTGATGTTTTAAGAAACCAAATGCAATTCAGGAAATGAAATATGTTTTAAGAATTCCAATAAATTACGTGAAACCAGTCGCATTCGTTTCGGCCAATTGTACGTTCTCATTATGCGTATTTTAATGCACTGTAATTGCGAAAACAACTTAAATCTGTATGCAAATCCGTAATTGTTCTCTCTAATTAGGAGCCGCTCGCCGGTTCAGTTACACAGGAATGCTAATATCGAATGCTCTGATTGAGGCCCCTTGCATTCAATTAGGAAGAGTTTCGGGATTCTCTTCAAGCATGTTTATGCGATACATTGTAAGAAAAAAACAAGAAGAACTTTACTAAAGAGTAAGAATCTAATTAGTGATGTTGAATCGACGTGAATGCATGAATGGGAAAGGATCGATTGAAGAGGAAGAAGAAGGCAATGAAAGAAAGAAACGAAACGAAAAGAAAAAAGTGGATAATCAAGCTTATGAAAGCCGCCGCGGCTAACTGTTTAATTAAACTGGTCGAGCTGTTTTGTCCATCTTTGTGAGTAGCCTACATAAGCTCGTACACTTTTTCTTACGGTTTGTGAGCCAGTGGAAACCTCATTTCTCCGAGGCCCCCCGTCATTCAGTCAGTAGGACTTGCTGCATCGACCTATGAACAACCAACATACACACCACACCACAAAACACACCGTATTCAAAATAAACCCATTGATCCATACGAGCGTGAAACATGTGCACTTTTAACAAATCCAGTGTATAAAGTTCATCATTGTTAATAATTAGTGTAAAAAATATTTGGAACATTTGTTGCGCTGCTCTCATTTTTTTTTTGTGGATTATGAAGTGTTGCCTCCGAAAACAGCAAAATGTTTTCCATTTTCTTAATACTAGTAAGTCCCGTAATATATTGAAAACCACGCGATATTTCTCATTTAACGCAATTGTTAAAATAAATATAAGTTAGTTTTAAAGGAAAGAATCGATGCTTCGGATCACCGTTCTATTCAAATTTTTTAAGATCGAAGTTTAGTCACGAATCGAATCTCGCATTTTGTATAATAAATTCAGGTTACTTTCTTGACCTACTGCTTTATTGCCTTACACGGGCCAATTAATAAACCGATAAAAATATTTTTTTTTCTCCGTCATTTCAATGTTACTATTAAAAAAAGTACTGTAATTAAAGATCTAAAAAATTGATTCATCTAAATATTTAAACAATGTCTCATTTCTATAAATATACTTAAGTAAATCAATAACGTTATTAATACAAAAAAGATATAAGATATTAGAATCATTAAAAAACTTTTACTAATTCAATATTAATCATAAGATTTATTACAATAAATAGTTTAATATTTGGTTGCTATAAATATAATTTAAGTATATAAAGAAATTTATGATTTATTATTAGTTTAAAAAAAAAACATTTTTAAAATTTATTATAATAATTTGTTGATTTATACATTGTCTTATTTCTTTGTAAATAAATTAAGTTATTATTAATTATCAAATTAATAACATTTTTCATACTTATAACCAATATTGAAAGCGGTTTTTTTTAATTTTGTAAAACTTTTGATTTATATATAATTTTTTAAAGCGAATATAAGTATTTAAATACTAGATGAAAATGAAATTATTAATTGGGTAGAATTTAATTAGTTTTCAATTTATTCGATAGAAAGCTATTAAAATATTTGATATATTCAAGTTATTGGGACGGAGAAGAAAAACTGGTGGAGATTTGAATATTAAACAGCGGTTTCTCTTTTATAACATAAATAGTTTCTAGTGGTTCTGGAAGATCATAATAATAATAAAAATTATGAGATAAATAACGAAAAGAAAGTTGTTTTTGACAAAGTTAAAAGTGAAATTTGGTGGAAATTTGCCATAAATGCTAAGTGATATTATATTAGTTATTAAATAACAATAATCGCTTTGCTTCGAATGACTTGACGACCTAATTAATGCGAACACGAACGATTTGAAATATTTCGCTAATTACTTAAGAGATGTATCGTGTTCGGTGCGTTTAGCGGAAACCTGTGGTTCGGTAAAATTGTAAATATAATTGACTAATGTGCTGAATGTGGGTCAGTATCACGCGGACTTGCAGTCACTATTGCTTTCACGAGAGAGACTTTTTAAAACGCGACGCGACAGCCGACTCTTCCTGCTTCGAATATCGATTGCAAATATAATATAAGGCTGTATATCATTGTTATTCAGGTTCGGTTCTTTTGATTCTAGATATACGCTTGTAGGAGTCACGGCTACGGTTACGATGCCGGCACGGATCAGGGAGCTTGTGGGAAGCCGTACCGGGCTTCGAGAATGTACCAACCTCCGTGCGACTTGACCAAGCAGACTTACTGCATCAATGCCGGTACAATGTACCCGTGGCACGCGGTCAAAAGGTTCATCAGGGAGAACCAGGGGTTGATGCGACGCATGTACGGCGATGAGAAGCACTTTGCTGTTCTTAAAGCCGAATTGGAATCGAACGAAGACTACAGCGGCGAGGATCGGTATCGCTACGATGACGATCTTTATGGTAACGGGGATTATAAGTCTCGCTACGCTAAACAGAACAGCGACTTCGAGAACGATATCTTGGAGGAACGCGAGGACGTCGCGTTGGAGGATGTGGCCGACGAAGAGGAGGCCAGGTATTTGCAGGACCGGAGGGATGAAATTATAATGAATACCAAATTTGTTTATAGTCATGAGCCGGGAATGCAGATCAAGTTGAAGGATCTGCAGCCCCCGAGATTCAGACCTACAAGCACAACATCCACTACAACAACAACAACAAGTACTACAACAACTAGCACCCAGAGAAGCGTCGAAGACCTGGAAGCGAAAACGCTCAATAAGACTGTAGAGTTGCTATATGAAAATTCCACAGAGATTTTTTACGAAGTAGATGATGATAACGCAAACAACATTACGACTACTGATTTAAGCGAAGAAGATGGTACTACCACCGAGTACCAGCAAGAAACAACGACCCAAAAGAAAGAGCCTAGCCTTTTCCAAGAACCAGACAAAACAAAGAACATGCTCAAATTAACCGGAGTGTAAGCATCTTATTTCTTATCCAATAACCAACAATTTTATAATCATTGTATTTCAGAAATGCTTGCCCGGTCAAAGAAGAAGTTGTGGCTCCGTTCTGGGCTAACAATACCCGAGGCGAGGTACTAGCCCTTCTCAACATGCAGCCCTTCGAGCAATACGTCCATTGGGAAAAGTGCACTCACGAGAACCGACAAATGCATTGCAGAGAAGGCTGCAGGTGCGAGCAAAAGTATCGTTTACATCGAATGTTAGCTTACGATCCTAACAACGAATGTAGAGGTATTTTCTCCGATTGGTTCCTATTCCCTTCGTGCTGCATCTGCAAATGCTACGACCTACAACTGGAAATAAGAATAACGTCGCGAAGTCCGCGTAGTAGAGACCCAGAAAAAGGTATTCCTAGTTGGTTCAAGAAAAAGACCAAAAAGGGTTTCAATAAAGATTAGAATTCGATTATAATGTGTTCAGAATGTATGACCCTATACATTTATAAATATTTAAATATATTCATCTGTATATTAACTAGTGGCAATTTAGACATTGCCAATTCGGTAGTTTTCGAATGAATAAGTTACCAGTAAACTGTATATAACTTTAAGCTGTTATTAATAAGTATAGGACGTCACTCTGAACGCAGATCAATGTACATAATTCGTTTTGTTAAAACAAGGCTCGTGTTAATTATTTTTATTTTGCTGTATATTATATAGTTATTTTTATTTTGTTATGAGATTTATTTAAATATTATATTTATGATATTCAAGGTTTGTTAATTTATTGCTAATATTTATGTTACTGTTAAATACTAATAAACTTTTATGCATCAATAAATAAACTATATTTATATATTCAATAAATGCTTTCCAAAATAATTACTTAATCCAATTCCTTAAATTATTAATACTGGTTTTAAGGACAATTTCTCATAAACCTTATATTTGGATTCAAATCATTTTTTTTCTTATTTAATAGTATAAATTTCGAGCAGAAAGACCTATATTCAATAGCCCTTTGCATCAGTTGACTTTTTTTTTTAAATTCTATATATTTGTTCTTTTTATTTCTGTATATGTTTTTTTTACGACATATGCAATAAACATTATTATTATTTATTAGTATAAATTCTTAAGAAATCTTTACAAAAATTAGGTAATATGAGACTTGAAAATAATGTATGCTATGCAAAAAAATGCATCTTAAGAAAGAGATTTAATATTTAAAAACAGTATAGTATTTTTAAAACCAATATTTATCAATTGCTTTTGAAATATAGTTGACTTTTACGTAAATATATAAATGTTTTTGGCAGAGCGTATGCATCTTAATATAGCTTGCTCTATATTCTTGTATTCACCTATTCTATTTGATCTTCGGTATTTATTTTGCACTAATATCTATAATTAAAGATAAGGATAATGAATAAAACATCGCTTCAAGTGAATAAAATTTATGTTTAAACTTAACAATCATTTTCCTATCGATCAGCTGTCGTTATTCCTGTTTGGGTTTGAGTCTGCAAACTAAATTCTTCATGGGTTTCGAGGAGTAAATGAAGACGCTGAGCAGAGATCCAACAGAAGCTCCAACCCAATAGACAATCATGTGTTCAACAGCAGTATTCCCTTCGCATCCGAACTTCAAAGAGGTAGCCAAAGCGGGATTGAAGTATCCTCCAGAAAAATTGAACGCAGCGACAACCATCATCGTAGCAAAGAAAGAATCCACGGTGCTTGCAAACCTAGCCTCGGTATCACCCAAGAACTTTGATGTTAAACGGCAAAGGCAAGTTGCAATGCCTTCGACCATGGCTCCAAACAACATAGGCACCTACAATAAGTTTAATATTAGTTTGTGATGTCGGAATGTAATATATTTTATTTATGTGTTTGTTCAATTGGTATTTAATTAAATAATAATCAATTAAATAATCAACTTAAACATTTTAATATCGGCCCTTAATACTCAGTGCAATTAAGAGGATTCTGTTAAATGCACCGTCTGATGGGCCTCTTTGGATATAAATCTTAAGCTCACCTGTAAATCAGCGGTGCATTCCTCATCGGCTCTACCTCTGTGATTCTCGGTTAACTCCAAAGACCATAGTATCTGTATGTATCTGAATATTACCAGTCCTCCCAATACTTGGGATAAGATCAGAAGAGTGGCTGTGGTTATCTTCTGCGTACCTTCCGCTACTTCCTCCATGATGTTGTAAGGACAAGCAGACGCGTTCTCCCATGTTTTTCCCCACCAAATAGTCAGTAGGAACAAATATAATGCATATACCCATACTCCAAAATTGTCAGCAACTAAAATAATGACGTTTCTTGTGTAACATTCATTACAATTATTCTATGAAAATTATAGTTGTCTGTTTATTCCCGCTAACGCACTTCAACATCATTAGTTAAAGTACCGGGAGTGGAACATATTAATTTAGGCTATCGAGTAATCAAAATATCAAATGATGCGATATTTTGATAATAACAGAGCCGTTGTGGTAATTGCAGTAACAAGGGGAATATGCTCACCAATTATCAGTTCAAAGCAGGTAGCGCACAATTCTGCTGTAGCTATGAACTCCAACAGCAACTGCCTCATTAATCCATCGTTCAGAGCGGTCTTTACTAACTTCCTGGCGGCGTTCGCTAATAGAGCTGTTAGGACTATGAATAGAGTTGAGATTAGTAAAGGGTTCATGCCTAAGATGTTTTTCTTTTTGCTACAAAATAATTTAACGTTCCAAAAGATACAGGCGACAACATTTAGTTTATTTACCCATATCCAAGTATTCCAGCCTTCTTGAAAAATCTATACGCAACCTTAAGGTAGTTCATTTTGTTGTTATTATTGTTGGTCTGCAGATAGTATTACTACTTGCGATCCATTCCGTTTGGCAAATACTTTACGTGTGTGCTCGAGACTATAAATAATCGAGTTCTCTCCACACTGTGGGGACCACATTTATATTTAGCTCACGCAAAACGCTTAATGTGCGGACAGATGAGCAGACTTACTCCTCGTCGTTATATAATTTCGCGCGCGGATTTTCCTGGCCGCTGCGTGCATGTACAGTTAATAATTAGATAACGTTTCGTAATTTCAAAGTTAATTTATTTAGCAATATATATTTTGAAGACAAATCCAACAAGATTCCAATTACATTATTTATTTAATTCATCCATCGTAGGTCCGGGGTTTTCTTAAGGAATTAATTAAATTAAGGATGTCCCTTCTCTTCATCTGCACAGTTTCTCTTTCCAGGGCTGGACAAGTTTCAATTTTCCTATGTTTCAGAGCAAAATTTGCCAAGTGTTCGCATTGTGCTAATACATGAATGCCACAATCATATCCATTGTTCTGTTGCAAACATTTGGGCTCATAAATCCTATCACAGTGATTGATGCCAAAGTAGAGCAAAATCTTAGAGCCTAACTCCATTGCTTGGTACTGGTTGGAACCATGGGAAGAATCAAAGTGGTAAATTTTTTTCTCAGGATAGGAAAACACCAGGAGACTCCAATGTGTTCCCCCAGATACTTCTGTTTGTTCATTATCATTGAGAGCGAAGAAAATGAAATCCTTGGTGCCAGAGTCCAATGGGTTCAGGAAGACTGAGATTTCTTGAACAGGTGTTATTTTTACGCATTGCGTCACCTGTGGAGGCACAAACAGCAGTGTGGGATTGTTCTTGAACTTTCTGACTTCCAAATACTCAAAGTAGAAGGATATCACTGTATCATTGAGCCAGCTGGGACCAGTCAAGAGTTCTACATCGGACACCCTCAGAAGACTCTCATGGAAGTTCAAAACAACAGGATTATTGGACATTTTGATACTATCTAAAAATGAAAATTGAATTATTTGTTAATGGTTAAGGTTATTTTAGTTTCTTTAACTTACCTTCTTATAACATGAGCTGCAGACTATATGTCCAAATGCATAGTATTAATAGGAAGTATATCTATACTGGCTTTTACAATACAAATAAGTAGAATTGGTTAAAAATAAGTTCAAATTCAATTTTGGCAGATGTATATTTACAGTAAATGTCACATTTTATTGGATTATAAACATGTAAATTTAGTTGCCTATAATACTTTGTACCTTTCTAGGATCTCCAAAAGAGGGCAAGAGAATTAAAATCCTATAAGAAAATTGTAATAATTGTTATTATCATAGTTAACTTGTTGGATTATACCATATAGGACAAAATATAAACAAAACATGTTATAGGATACAATGTAATGAATGGAATAGATTTCAAATATCTGCAACCAAATGACCCAAATTAATTACAATTATAATTAATATAAAATATTGTATTAAATATAAGAAGCAAAATCAATCACGTTAATCAATTTACTACAAGTGAATACTCCAAATAGACAACATAATTCCGGAATAACAATTGCGTTTTCTCAATTTTAAACAAAAAGTTAATTGAGTTTTTAAATCAACTTTTATTTTATGAGAAAAGTAATTAATATTTTGTGAATATACTGCATATATTTTATCGTTATATTTGCAATTATTTACAAAGAAATATTTAGTAGTTCACTTAATACAATAAAAGTTAATTAATATTATTAAATTAACAAAAAAACATACTAACATATTACATTTTGGGGTGCGTAAATCGCCCTAGGAAATGTGTCTTTCATATAGAACTAATTGCTCGAATGATGTAAATGTAATTGCTCGTAAAGTCATTTCATCTCTATTAGCTACTTTATTTGTTTACTCACGCCTACTACAATCAATTAGGTCATTATTTTTTTCTCTCGCAATGTTAACATTTATATTCTTACATAACCAAACGACTTGCGTTATTAATCAAATTAATATTTAATTTATTTTAAAGCTTCCGAAAAGGGTGGTGCGTTGTCGTAAAACTTGGTTTCTCAAAAGAGAATTCATAAAGTTTGAGTATATAAAAACACTATATAAGACTTTTAAAATTTCAGATATTTTATGCGTCCGAATTAATTAGCCCAAGACATTAAACTACGCCGAGTTATTTGCATATTTGCATAGAGATTATGGGTATTTTAAGAATGAAAATGTTAATTAATTTCGTATTCAAGAGTTACATCTTTCTATTAAATATTTTAAATTATAGTGTGCATTTTATTTTCACTTAGTAAATTATGTAAACTTCTTTGTTTTATGTAATAAAATGTTTATAGTTTTATAATTCACATCGTTTTACTGATATTTTAAAGAAAAAGATATGTGTAGAAAATATTTAAAAAAATAAGTGAAACATAAAATGTTATGTAATTACGATTTTTAGTACAAATTTGTTTCCTAGTTTGAACGATCGTTCTAAAATCTATGTTCATATGAACGTACAAGGCTAGATCATTTACAAAGTTTGTTTGAAATTTATTCCAGTATGGATATGTACATTATTTCAGTCAGAGAATAATAAATAATGATGTACGTATTATCGAATGTACGTTAAACGGATGTTCGGTCAGTAAGCGCTGGATGTATAATTTAATTAAATTTGCATTAAATGAACATGTCTATGTGGTATATGTGTATCATAATGACTTTTCTTGAATTTGCAATGAGCGTGTGATACGGGTTGATATCCTCACCGTGCGTTGCGGCGCCATAAATTATGTAATGCATGTTAATCTAAACGGCTTATCATTGGGGGAATTTTTGGTGGAAATGGAAAAACGTGTGCAGTGTATGTGTGTGTGCGTGCAGGGATGGAAGTTTAACGTAGAGGGGTTAATTTAAAGTTTGAATCATCCCTCCGAATGGCCGGAGCCCATTGCCATTGTTTATTCTGGGCAATTAGATAGCATTTGGTTCGAAACCGAAAGGGTAGCCGAAACTTTGACCCCCGGGAGACCCATTTTACCGAACACAGAGCAGCGCGAAAGTTCACATACAATTGTTTCATCAATTTATTAATTGAAACGTTTCCATCACTTTGTTTATGAACCATATACAACGTAACATCCAACCATAATTAAAACCGTACATCTATCATACTGTTCGTAACTTTTTATTTTCTATAAAGTGTAGAAATCCATTTAACATTTTGTGTTTATGGACCTAATTATAAATTTGGAATGGAAAATAAGAGACGTATACAATATAGTAATAAGCATGGATTGATATACTATATTCAAGAAATGATAGATTTTAGCAATCTTAACATTTATGTAATGCTCAATATACAGAAACCTTATAAAGTCATACGTCGTTCACGAATAGGATGCGTTCCACGCAATTACTTCGTTAAGCTAAGTTTCGTTTTCAGAGGTAAAAGGTCTATGATCAGGAAAACGTAAAGAAAATGAAAAGTTTCTTTTAGAACAAAGAAAAGTTTGATTTAGTAATCAGTCAACTTACATACAAATCACATTATAAAAAATGAATTATACGGAATTATTGCATTGAACACTAATACTTCTTCTAAGTCAGGATTACTTTCACTAAAAAGAATAAAAAAATTTCAATGTTATTTAAGCACCTTTTTAAATATTCGGTTGTTAAGATGTTTTTGCTAATAACTTCTTTAATTTCATCTTCATTTTCTTTGTCTTCTAAATCTTCCAGTGAAAAACCTTGATCATCTGCATTCAATACATTTCTTCATTTAGATTTTCGAAATCTACTGATTAAGACACCTGATCAACTTAATTTTCAATTATTTTTCTCTTCTAATACAATTTCAATATCTTTTCCCATTATTATGGAGACTTGGCTTTAAAATGGAATATTTTTTGTGCTAAAATTAAATTGTACACTTCGCTATTAGACGTAACATCTACCGAGAAATGCTTATATTTAATGAAGAAAAAAGGCATCTTCTATAGATTAAAGTATGTTTTGAATCCATTCATAATTGAGATTTTCATGACAATTAATAATTTATTTAATTAATGAACTTTTTTAAATTATTATATTTGTCATCACTCAAATATTGAAATACATTTATTGATGGGAAGAAACAAGATTGTATTTGGTTGCCTTAGAAATTTTCAAAATTTGATATTAGTGATTGTCTTTCTGACTAATATGAGATATTTTGGGTTGATAGAACAATAGAAAAGTTTAGAATCTGTATAGTTCATATAAGTGTGCATTTATAAATATATAACTATAATATTCATCAGCTAATATTTATGTCATGTTGATATTAATATACCATGTGACAACCATGTAACGTTATCTTAAATTAGGATAAACCAGGTAAAAATACCTATTTCTATTTTTTTACTATGTAAAATTAATAGACATATAAATTTTAGATTAATAAAAATGTTTGTAACGTGAATTACTTGTCACTTTTAACTTGGGTCAATTTGGTACAATGGCAAATTTAGTACTTGAGAGATGGAAATGTAGTGACAATTATTGAAGGGTTGTCATGGGTCCATTTTAAGATTTGAGGTCCCTTGATTTAAAAGGCTCCATGCGCAAAAAATCCGCTACTGATTAAATGTTATATAATGATTGAATTGTAAAGTCTATCTATAATTTTATTAAAGTGTACTGAAATAAATTCTTGTTGTGTTGTGTTTTTTCTTCTTCAAAGATGTATATGTATTTTCAATTCAATTAGGTTGAAATATCTAGCACGATCGAGTGCGTGCATTAGTGGATTAACAACACCCTCACAAAACATCGATACCATCGCACCTAAACAAACAAACAAACTTTCTTTGCATTCTATTCGGAAATTTTGGCATCCAACATAATGGTCTCGCCTGGCGCATTTCCATTACCATCGTCTTCGCCCTATTCCTTCCTTAAAGTTTAATTAGCTTCTGCACTCGCGACAAGTTGTAATCGGGCGCTGGCTGTCTTGGCACTCTTATATACAGGATAAATACACTCGGATTTTCCTACGCGCATTTCGTTCCCCCCATTAGAATGTTAAGCACTGGCAGAACTCGACGGAAACAATTTTGAGTTAGGAGCAACTTTTAATATCTTCGAGATATTTATCCGCGATATTCGGATGCTATCAAAACAGTATCCAGATTTTATAACGCGCCGCAACCTCATCCAACTTTTCCTGATCTTCCGCATCTCCCACCGTTTTCTTACATAATCTCTTTATAATGTTACCCATACATAAAAGGTATGATCAATACATATGTAAAGTATCATATTTCTCCGCTGTGGAAACTATACTTTATATATATAGACAATAATTAAAATTATTTCAAGTCATACAATTCTGTTAATGTTGTAAATGTACTCCAATTTTATTTGTTAGAAGATTTTCTTCTTAAATGGCTATCAACCACAATATCCTTCAATCAGAGTTACAGCAAGGGGAGGTAACGACCCCAGGCGCATTAAGCAAAGGCGCTGGTAATATGTAATATAGTTTTCTTGATTATAGCTTGATTTTGCGCCCCAATGAAATATTTGTCCTTTTTGATTTGAGGAAGGGGCGAAAATTAGATATTTGTCAGTAGGCGCAATATTTCCTTTCTGCGGCATTGTCAGTTCTTTTAGTAATTCAAGCAAAAATTACCGATCATTATTTAAATTTAGTTGAAGTAATTTTATTTTTTTAGCCGATTTTCTTCTTAAATGTCTATCAACCATATCCTTCAATAACTGTTATAAATTAACTCCATCGTCCTTGCAAAAAATACAGATCACTATTCCAAATCCTATCCCCACCAATATTACAATTCAACATTGCTTAATATCAGTAGTTTATCCAATTATTGCATGCGATTGGTTATATTGATAATCTACACTTACGTGCTTTGTATTATGCTCGGTTTCTCGACTTGTTAGTAAACTTAGTATAAACTTTATACAATTGATAATGTCCATTGTAAATTATACATAAACTTTTATAAACGAATTGTTGCTTTGTTAAACCTACAATTATTATGTAAATAATTCTGAGATGCATTCAAGGTTTCCCCAATAGCATATGAATTTGCATTGTATGAAAGACATGGCATGACATTGGCAAATGTGCTTACTATCGATTTATCTGTCAAGGGTTTGTCTTCGGCATAGAGTAGGGATCTAATTCAATTTTCCGAGGGACATCTGATT